ACAGGAGCCTAATGTGTGAGCACCAGGTCTCAGCTGAGGCATTGCAGCTGAAAAGCCTCATCTTAATTCTACAGAATTATTGTCCCCCTTCACACACCGGTCATTACCATTAAAGTATCATTGGGCTTCAATCAAGTTCTGCAGGAAAATTCCTCATTAAATGGAGGGCATAATTTTTGGGCTTTTTATTTTTATTTTAAGTTCCATTCCTGAGAGGATCCCTCACTGAGAACACAGCCCTGACTAACAATGCCTATGTACATTCAATTTGCAGAGGAGCTGAACTCAGACCCTGTGTTTGAATAAGTAATTTTAGGATGATTTTTGCCTCAGTTTTCCACCCACCAGCTTTATTTGGAAATAATTTAATTGATAAATAACCAATATTTGTTTCAGTTAAATTCACAAGGATATATTGCTCGACCTCTGTGGGTTTTGAGCAGCCATCAAGTAACTATGCAAGTATCCCTTAGTTCTAGAAATATTCTCTTTCATTTAGTTCTAGAAAGAGCCCCTTTCCCTGCTGTAGCCACTGACAGGCATTGAAGTAGTGATTCACAATAAAATCATGTTACTACAGGGGGAAAAAACCTCACTAAAATAATGATCACACATTCCTTAACTTCTGATGTAAAACATAGTTTTCAACAGCACAAAATCATTGCATTTGGTTAAAAAAAGGAAGGCAAGAGGATCACAAAGCAGCTGGTGTTGCTCTCCAAACTAAAGAATTATAGTAAAAAAACCCCACAACTCTTCAGGCATCTGGAGCTGCATTAAATTTACAACACAATGTTAATGTAACCCTTCCTCCCCTTTCTCTCCCCACCCCCCCTTTTTTTTTTTTAATGATACACGTGAAACCTAACATTTAATTTGTCTTAATACATTACCAGTATAGTATGAAATATCTAAATCATGTAATGGCTCTGGAAGTGAGGCTGGAGCCAGGCTTGGACACTGGATCCCAGTGCCTTGGAACTTTGGGGATGAGCCAAACCAAGCCCAAACTCTGCAACTTCACACCCATCTTTAATCAGAAGCATTAGCTTGACACTTTTCCAGTTATGAGTAACCGTGGCTTGTGCTGGAAAACTCAGTAGGATGCATTGTAAGGCACTATTTCCACGTCTCATATTTGTATTTTTGTCTCATCAACAAAGCCTCAGGTCTGGGCTTTCATTCAGGCTCCATTAAAGAGCAAAAACGGTGCTGGACGAGACCCTTTCAGGCCCAGGTTTAAGTAGTGATTTCAATTAAAACTTTGATAGAAGGATTTTCTCTGCTGTTTTGTTTAATAACCACAGAAGAAAAGGAGTATCCTGATGTCTCCTTGAGGTTTGACAAGCACTACTCCGTTGAAAATGAAAATACTTAATTCTGCAGAAGAACATGGATAGGAATTAAAACACACTTGGATGAGCATTGCTGCAGAATTCTGTTTGCATAAGGAAAGTGAAATGCTTGGAAGTGTCTGGGAAAGGAGGAGCTTAATAACAACAGCTGCACAAATAATTTTCTGGGGGAAAACCAGCAAAGATAGATATGGCCCAAAACTAAATTAAATAATAAAATGAATAAACCACTCTACTTTCACCGTGGTTTTTGACCCTGCTTTTACTCTGCTCACAGGTTTCTGTACTGGCAGGATGCACAACTATCCCTTCAAACCTAATAGACAACTCTGCACATTCATTACTTTGCCTGGTGAATATATTAACAATTAAAATTAAAATTAACATATCCAAAGTGTGCAAACAGACCACTACTATTTTAAAGTAAGTTTTACCCCTACTTTTGACTTTCAGGGTTGCTGACAGGCTATCTCCAACAAGCAGCAGGCAAAAAGAATTTATCAAAATTTTAAAACAGAAAACTCAACAAACACACAAAAAAAAAAATCAACAAAAATAAAAGAAGTGTCCAGAAGCCAGTGGAGTGTTTAAGAACGCTCCTAACTTTGGTTTTGTTCAGGGAAGTAATGATGATATCCTTAGAAACCAGGAGCAGACAGAAAACAAGCTGTCTTTGCCTATTGCCCTTACTGTTCATCATGGTTAATTTGCTTTGGAACACGGAGCTTTGTTATTGCCATTGTGCCAAATTTTAACAATTTGAGCCACATATTGTATCTTCTTTTATCCACACTGACCTCTGCAGCCCAGAACAAAGCTCATCAACCCATGTGTCCAGTTTTTGAATGAAGATCCTGCTCTCACTCAAAACCTCAAGAATTCTGCCATTTGTCTCAAAGGTTTTCATTCTGAGAAAAGGTTGACATTTTTGGGAGGGGGTTAATAAAAAGTAAACTGAAATTAGTGGTTTTAAAGCCTGCTCTTGATTGATTTGGGGGCCTGAACTGAACTCTCACACTGAGACTCAAAGGGGACGAGCTCCCATTGACTGGACGTGCAGGAGGAGATGAATTTATCCTGGAGAAACAGAACCCTGGAGTTCCACATGGCTCTGTTTTCCCAGCTTGGCGTGTTTGGAGGCAGAAAACCCAGCAGAGGAGTCTATCCCAGCCCATTCTCCTCCATAAAGTGCTGATTTTGGTACAGAGATGAAAAGCAAGGCCAGGCTCTCTCCCATGCAGGAGAGCTGCCAGGTGGATGGGCTGAGGAATGAAGGAATTCCATCCTCATCCATGCGACCAAATCCTGCAGGATTTGGTTCAGTTTGCCTCTGGAAGGCTTCCCTGGACATCTGAGGCTCTTGGGCTCTGTCACATCCCCGTTTGGGTGAGGTGACACCAAGAATAATGTTAAGACCACAGAGAGATTTCTGCTCCCCCCCCAACTCCTCCTTCAGCTCAGCATCTGATGGAAATCAAGGATTTGAGGATTTTTTGGGAGTAACCAGCATGGGTTTGAAATCAGAGCTGAACTTCTCCAACATTCCCATGAATTTGGGTCCAGAATCTCTCTTTTGGCAGTTACAACCAATATTCTGTGTATTATGGCAGTGCCTCAGGTCCCCAGGTGTAAATCAGGAGAGCCCTGGGCACGATTTTTTACAAACTCCAAACAAAGCTCCCAAAAAAAGGAGACTATTTATGTTTCCTGACATTCCACAATCAGTTCTTCTTGCTGGCTCCAAAAGCCAACAAGATGTGTTTACATGCTGTAAAAAAGGTTTTCTTTTGCTTTCCAGATTTTTTAGCATTCTTGGCATATGATAACTAGCTGCTGGTTCTTTTCTTTATGGAAATTGCCAGTTGAAAAAAACCTCAGTATAAATTCCCTAACAATGAGCACCTCTTTTTTTCTCATGTCTTATCATCTCTAAAAAACACAGAGTGAAGAAGTCACTGCAGTCTCTTTAAACTACTGCTGAAAAAAATTAGGTTGGTCAGGAATTTTTCTTTAAATTTCTTCATACTCCAAACAAAAAGCTAATAAAACTTTTTTTTTTTTTTGCCTACATTTCTTTAATTTTTCTGAGCTTTCAGAAGATTTTCTTTTGTAGGATTTCTTGTAAAAGTTGAAACTTTGTTTTAATTATTAAATTTTTCATTGCTAGCAGAAGCAGAAGAAAAATAAAAATCACTTTTTCTATGAGAACACGTTTTGATGGAAAGTCTGAAGCAACTCTCTAAACTCCTGTGGAGTTTCAACTCCATTTACAAATAAGGAAACTGATGTAAGAAACCCCATTTGGAATCAGAGATGAAAAGAGAAGGAAAATGGCTCACCCAGAAAAGCTGGGGTACACCCAACCCCCTGATTTCATAGAAGTGTCTCAGCCTTGCCCCAGAGTCAGTTCCAGCCCCACTTTCCTCACCCTGAGAGGTGACCTGACAGCACATCCCAGCTTCAAAGCTGGACCTTTGCCTTGCCACCTTAACAGAGGCTTTCCTTTCCTTTCCTTTCCTTTCCTTTCCTTTCCTTTCCTTTCCTTTCCTTTCCTTTCCTTTCCTTTCCTTTCCTTTCCTTTCCTTTCCTTTCCTTTCCTTTCCTTTCCTTTCCTTTCCTTTCCTTTCCTTTCCTTTCCTTTCCTTTCCTTTCCTTTCCTTCCTTTCCTTTCCTTTCCTTTCCTTTCCTTTCCTTTCCTTTCCTTTCCTTTCCTTTCCTTTCCTTTCCTTTCCTTTCCTTTCCTTTCCTTTCCTTTCCTTTCCTTTCCTTTCCTTTCCTTTCCTTTCCTTCCTTTCCTTTCCTTTCCTTTCCTTTCCTTTCCTTTCCTTTCCTTTCCTTTCCTTTCCTTTCCTTTCCTTTCCTTTCCTTTCCTTTCCTTTCCTTTCCTTTCCTTTCCTTTCCTTTCCTTTCCTTTCCTTTCCTTTCCTTTCCTTTCCTTTCCTTTCCTTTCCTTTCCTTTCCTTTCCTTTCCTTTCCTTTCCTTTCCTTTCCTTTCCTTTCCTTTCCTTTCCTCTTTTTTTGCAGATTTCCCTGCAAAGCAGCTGGGTCAGAGTCCCACGGGGCTTGTTGCTTTTGCTGTGAGATCTTAAAGTGACCATCACTGTTTTGGTTTGTTGTTTTTGAAAGAAGCTGAAGGGAGGATTTGAGAGTGTTAGAAAGCAAAAAAAAAAAAACCAAAAAACCAAAAAAAACCCAACAAACAACAACAACAACAACAAAAAACAAACAAACAAACCAAAAAAAAAACAGGGAAAGAGGTCGGAAATGAGGAGGTTGCTTGTGTAGCACGTACAGAGCTACTTTGAAAAATTCTGAGGCATCTAAATATCACAAGCACGATCCCTGCTGTGGGCAGCTGTATGCGCCAGTGCTTTGCCCGAGGGTGTCAAATCAAATATCCACTGCTGGTTGGTACAGTACAGCACTTCCCCCTGGGGATTCAGGGTGGAAAAAGAGGGAAGGAAAAAAAGAAAAAGGGGAAAAAACAGTTTAAACACAACAAATGGAGAAAAACTTTAGCTCTGTCTGATACAGCTTTTCTTAGATTGTCGTCATGTTTGTTAGGAACAATGTAGGAGAGAGGAGACAGGAAAGGCAAAGAAGAACAGAGGCAGACAGGTTCATGCTGAGCCTCATAAGACTTACCTGGAACCGTCTCATATCTCTTGGGTTTCCTGCTGTTTTCAAGCAATTCTGATTGCACTTGAGAAAAAATTTTAGGAAGAATCTGGAAAGAGAAAGAACCACATCACTGCTATTAACCACAGCAAAAGGTGTTGTTATATTCTGGTTTAAAATGTGCATGAAGTGGTTTGCATGATAGTGGATCTTACAGGACTACAAGAATTTATCAAAACACAAACCAAACTCTAATAAATGGAATTTGCAAAGAATGACAGGTAAAGTATAACCCACTCCCTCTCTGAAGGCTTGACCACACGATTTTAGTCTCTTCCTTATCTCTCCCTCACGTTCAACCTCTTTCTTTGGCTGTCTGGAGGGACTTCCCATGAAACAATATAGAAGGAAAATGGTATTGTGGAAACCACAAAACCAACAGGGCAACTGCAAGGCAGATAAGCCTTGGAATGCCTTGGAACATATGAAAAACCCAGGAGCAAACACAGCTCGGAGAAGAATCTGATGAGGTTCCTTCCTGATGATGTTTTTTTCTGATGAAGATTCCTGTCACAAAAGCAGAGGAACAGAACTGCCAAAAGCCCACATTGTTCCTCCCTAGGTTTTGAGGGAGGATAAGGAAAAAAACAAGTTGAAGTGAAACATGACAGCTCACACTGTCTGAGCAGATAAACCCATTAATATCCCACAAAGTTCTCGTGCCAATTATTTTTGCCCTGTCACACGCACCCATCTTCATATGCTTTATTATTCTGTAGAGTTTAGTTTGTCACGTACCAAGGCTGAATCTCCAGCCTGTTTGGTGACTTCCCCAATACTGCATGGAGATTTTACAGTTTAGAAATATTAAGCAGGAATTTTTCTCTAAGCTATTCCACCAAATTTTTTCTCACATCCATGGAGGAAAGGATTCACCCCTTTGTTTTCTGATTTAATCTGGACATTTTAGAGGTAAAGAAATTGTGTGAAAAGCCACGGTTGTTGGATTAAAAACAAAACAAACAAGCTTCAAAATTTAGGCATAAGCAAGAAATATTTTGGCATCCTCTATGGCAAGTGAAAATATTCTCTGTGATTCTTTCAATTTCTATTTGTCAGACAAGATGGGTTTAACTGCAACAATTATAATTAAAAAAATAAATCAAAGACTTTGAGATAGATTTAGAAAGAAAAAGAGTCATATACAAGAAAAAATAAATAGTTGAAGAATTGATTTTGAATACAAAGAACAAGTTATTTATTTATTTCTCTTGCTGAGTGCTTTCCTTTAAAAAAAAAAAAAAAATCTGCTTTTGCAGTAAGTTAAAGTCCCAGGTGAGCCAGGCCTATTTCCCTTTCTGTTACTATGACAACGATTTTTTACCGCAGTCCCTAAGTCCCTTCAGAACTCACACATTCATGCCTTGAATTAGAACTTTAAAGGAGAAAGATGGATATTTCCTGGGTTTACCAACAACACCCTCCAAACCAGCCCCAGCACAAGGCAAAAACACAGAAATCTCCTCTCCCTTGTTAGTGCCACTTTCTCTGCTCTACTCCCACCACAAGATTTCTCCTCCATCTGCCCCGAAATACAAAGAAAAAGCCACGGGTTGGATCCATTTGTGTGTTACTCGAACAAACCAAACCCCTCCGAAAACCTCACCCACAAAAACAACACAGATTATGCCACGTAAAGCCAAAATCCACCCTGGCCAGCGACCCTTTAAAATTAAAATGTCCTAATTTTAACTATTATTCCCTTAAATATCTCCCAAATATATTAGATTTTTTTTTTAATGTTTATTTTCTCAAGGTGAGAGTGTTATTTTCTCCGTATTTCCTTCTCATTTCAGGTCTCCCTTCAGCAGGAACGGGGTGTCAGTGCTCACCTCTCAGAGGGTAACTTCTGCCAACAGAGCCCTGGGCACCTCCGTGGCTTCCAAACTAAAAATCCTACAGAATTTCATGCCCTGGGAGAAGCACTGAATATATTTTATTAAATAAGTCCTGTCGAGTCCCTGCTAAAACCTGTGACCTCTTTTATACAAAAGATTTGGTGAGATTTTATCCATAAAAATGTTTTCAGAAGAAAAAAATCTCCTGCACGCAGCACCCTCGGAGACACAGGATAATGTGAGGCATAAATGTTACTCACAAACACTCCTTTTTATCTTTCCCTCTTCTTAGAGATATAAAAAAGAATATTTGCAGATATACAAACAGCTTATACGAGATGTGCCTGTGCAAAGGAAAACTCCAGAATGAAACTAAACTATAAAATGAACCAAGACAAGGAACTTTTATATGAAAATCAATTAGCTGCTGGCTGGTGATTCTGCAGGAAAACCACAAAATTTAAAAAATCCACAAGTTGTTACTTCCAAGGAAATATAAAATAAATTAAACAGGAAAAGAGACAGCTTATTTTTTAATGTTTAGAATGCTTGCATCCCTTTTGATTGAGATGAGAAAAATGATCAACGCAAACCAAAGAATGAAGAAAACGAGCAGGGAAAAGTGTTTGGGAGAGAACTTGCTGTGTCAGCTGGGCTGATTTTGGGAAGAAGACAAATCCTGGGGGACTGAGTGACACAACCCCTAAAAGGCAGATACAGAAAGGCAAAAATTCCAAATGTACCTTTAACGGCATCCAGGAGCAAACTCTGCAACGCGGCGTGGCAAGGAACAAAAATCACCTTTTTTCAGCTAAATGCCTCCAGAAAATCAGGGTTCAGACCCCCAGCAAACACAAACCAAGAGCACACTTGAAAATGGAGCTGGATTCCAATTAAATCCAGGCTGATTTGTGCTGAGGTGGGGGGAATAGCCATTAAAAAAACCACAGAAAACAAAACTTCCCCATTCCCTGAGCTGCCGCAGTGCTGAACGTTCCCAATCCTCCCAACTGCACCAAACACATCCAAACCCGCGGAGCCTGGCAGGCTCAGCCTGGATATTTCACCCTGGCAATTTGGGGATCCCTCTGAGATGTCTTAAGAGGTACCTTGACTTTATGGAATTGTCAACAGCTCAAAAATGCTGAATTTTTTGCTGCTTTAAGATACCACAAAATTCAGAAAGTGCTCAGTTTTCTTTTAGCACTTAAACATCGTGGCAGAATTTTTTTTTTTTTTTTTTGCTAAGATATTTGTTGGAGATCACTGGGTATACTGCACTATGACAATTTCCCTCCTATCACCCCAAAATTTAGATTTAGCTGCCCACACAAGGATTTTTATCTTTTTTTCTTTTGTTTTCCCAGTTGAACCACACCTTTCTTTTTCTCTTTTTCAGAGTTCCTCCAGTCAAATTTGAGCTGCAAGTGGGCATCTGTGTGAAGTATATGTGTATATATATATATATACATATATACATATATATACCCATATACATATATGTGTGTGTATGTGTGTGTATAAATGTGGGGGTTTTTTTAAGATGTTGCATCTGGGAAAGACATTAATATTTATTGCAGCATTAGAATAAAAATGACTTGGGGGGAGCAAAGAGGAGGGAAGGTTTAGCACTAAATGAAGCTGATTTAGGGGTAACAGGAGAATTGCAGAAAGATTTTATTAATTTCTTTAAATGAGACACTTTAGCCAGTTTTTGGCCTTAACCTATATATACAGGAAAAATAATAATAATTTTTTAAAAACCAGAATTATTAAAAATTAGCTGATTTTGATGTTTCTGGCCAATCTGTACTTAGCAAGTACAGAATTAGGTGGGAGTTTAGCAGGTGACTCTGGCTCCAGCCAAGCAAAGGAACCTTGGCCCATCCTCTCAAAATTTCAGGGTGGTGGAGGAGAATCTAAACATATTTCAATAACTACCCCTGAAAACTCTGCATTACTATAGAAAAGCTGATTAACTTAATGCACAGACATAAAATTAATTAAGATATAAGCACAGACTTCTGTTTCTGGTGTCTCTCTCTCGTCACTGACCTCCCTGGGTACAGATTGATGCACTTGAGAGGTCTCCAAAATTCCGCCTTCAATCTGCCTCCCTCTTTTTAGAGCTGTTTTAAAAGTTACTGCTCCTCCTGCTGGGAGCTGCCACCAAGCCCAGGAATTCCGTTTAAATGCCCCTTTTCCACTTCAGGGCAAAGTCAGCTGTGTTATCCCAATTTTTAGCAATACCTTGAGCAATCCCTGGTGGGGAAGCAACAGGAGAATCCCAACACAGCTGAGGGGTGCGTGGAGATGGAGAAAGGGTGAGGGCAAATTAAGCCAGGTCTTGCATCAGTTAAACTGTTTCCAAAGCAGTTTTTGACCCACAGTCCCATCTTGCCTGTCTATGCCCAAATAATCAGCTTCTGTACCTGGCTAGGACTAGAATCTATGTTCCACACCTCTGATGATCTTTATCCACCTCAGATCAGTGAGAAAAATCAAATTGACCTTAATCAAATCCTGCTGGAGTCAAAAAAATCTTCCTGGTGACTTCAGCAGGACTAGGCAGAAGTCCTAAAGCTCAGCCCCACATGCAGCAGAAGGTGTAATTAAAAAATCAATCAATCAATCAATTAATAATTTTTATCCCCCATCTGCCTTGTGTGCTTCATTAAAATAGAGGTACAGAATCAAGAGGTCCAACATTGGCTGTATGTTGGGAACAGCCTCTGGATACACCTAAAATTCTGGATAGAACTAAAAATTCTCACTTGTAAAGCAAATAATTCTGGCTTTTTGGGGTTGCTGTAGAATTTGGAATTGTGGCCTCAGTCATTTTCTGGCATGAGAACACACCTACCATCTAGGATAATTCTGATTATGCTTACCAGCAAATCCTGCAATCCCGAAATCTAATGAAAATATAGAGTGCAATTCTGCTTAAATAATTCAGTGCTTCCAAAACATCACAAAGGGAAAAAGAAAAAAACCAAAAGTTTTTATTATGACTATCAGTCAAACAATATTAAATTAAAATATACTGTGAACTGCAAGTGTTATTATTGCAGTGAGGGCTTGACTCCAACTGCATCTGAACAAGGGAATTCTGGATCAGGTCAGATCCTTCCCTCAGCTCACCTGTGTGTGTCTTGGCACTGCAACCTCTGAGATAAGTGTGACAAGTGACCCTACCTAGTGCCCCACAAAA